ATTTAATATTTTGTTTAAACTTGGCGCCTCAATGTCGAAGAGCATGCGCAGACATATTACCCCCTCCAAACTCTTAAGACTCACCTGCTAGAGTAGATGTTGGAATTGGCACCCTCCATCTTCAATGCATGTGTTACATCGATGAAAGAAACTTTGGCGCACCCTTTCAAATATTCCAGGTGTGTCACGGATCATGTCACATGCAACAAGTATTCTGGCCAACAGCTCGAATTCATTATCCACAGGCATGTCATAGATCAGGCTTTTCACATGGCCCCAGACGAAATAGTCCAGAGGTGTCAAGTCTGGGGATCGGGTTGGCCAAGGCACTGGGCCTCCTCTTCCTATCCAATGACCATGAAAAGCAGCATCCAGGTAGTCTCATAATACAGTGCTGAAGTGTGCTGATGCTCCATCATGCTGTATCCACATTTGCCTCCGCACAATCACTGGCACGTCTTCTAGCAAAGCCGGAAGGATGTGTTCCAGGAACACCTTGTAAATGGGCCAATTGAGCAGCGGTGGTAGGAGGAAAGGCCCAATCAAGTGATCGCCAATAATGCCCACCCAGTCATTGACAGAAAAGTGTGCCTGGTGGTAATCAACCACAGTAATGTTGGGGTTTTCGTCAGCCCAGACATGGCTGTTTCAACAGTTGAACCAGCCATCCCTTGTAAACTGCGCTTCGTCTGTGAATAACACATGATTCAGGAAGTTGGGCTGATGTAAACAGTGGTTCAGTATCCACTGGCAAAAATGAACTCGTGGTACGAAGTCAGCTGGACCTATGTCATGTACTTGTGTTGGATTATATGGATAAAGTTGTTGGTCGTGCAGGATCCTCCAAACACGTGATTTTGATGTCCCCACAGTCTTGGCAATGGCATCAGTGCTGGTGGATGGCTGTTCCTCTATGCAATGCAGTTCGACATTGAGGCACCAAGTTTAAACGAAATGATTTTAAATGCCGCCCTAGCGCTGCTATTTTACGTTTGCAGACATGGGTTCCCATTTCAGAGTTATTCTATAGGGAACCCTCAGTACACTCCTGAAGTGTGGCACCAAACTCCTGGGACACTCTGTATAACATATGATGGAACTTCCTATTAAATTCTCAGTTGATATTACACTAACTTTGCATGCACAGTAAAAATATGAATAGTTTTATCATTTACTCAGTAGTATTATATAGCTTTGGCTTCAAAACCCCTGTAATATTCAACTGTTAACACAGGTTTGTGATGGTTATGGTCCATAAAGGGGTGGTGATTTCATTCAGGTATGCAGGAGGTGGGTGATTTTGAGACAAAAGAAGAGGCAAAAAGAATACTAGATGAGAATATTAATTTAAATGTAGAATAACTGCAAAGTTTCTGTAACATGTTTTTAAGATTATTAATAGGATACAGTTTACTATTTTACATAAGAAACACGAGCATTTCCAGCTTCTATGCGGGAGTCCATTTGGATGCTGATGTGCTGCTTAAAAATGGCACAATCTACAGTACTGTTTTATTTGACCAATATATAAGCCTACGAAAAATAATCTGCTATTATTCAAATCTATATAAAGCTATGCATCTGGCAAAGAAATGCTCACCTGAATTAACAACCTTATAAAAAATATTAAATCCGTTGAAGAAATGTGTTCATTTGCCCTTTGATTGTGTTGGGGCAGTGATTGGGGAAATTGGTGGAAACTGTAACTTGGATTAAGGGTATAGCACAAAATTGCATCAGTGATTGCATGCCAGTCAGTATAGAAGTGCAAAATTATGACAGTGCAGCCACAGCTGGTCTTGGGTTCAACACCAGATTTGTGACCTTAAATGTAAGAGACAGCTGTAGGGCCGCGCCATAGCTCAAGCGATTAGTCACTGGCTTCCCACTGCAGCAGCCCGGGTTCAATCCCGGGTCTGGTCAAGTGGGATTTGTGGTGGACAAAGTGGCTGGCACATTAGGCCAGAAGTGGCTGCTGTACAAGGGACTTACTCCCACCCCATTGGCAATAAAAAAAATATAGCTGTAACTGCTGGATTTCTGTTCATTAAATTGGAAGCTGCACACATGCTTTGGAGTAACTGTTGTAGGAGTTAATTACATTAACCCAGTGTCTCAACTAAAAAGCCCTAAACTTGTTATATTACATACATGATCTGAAGCTTTCATGACTGTGTAGAATGACATCTTGGGCAGTCAGCCATGGAGTTGGTTTCTGACATTTCAGAGACTGTGTCCATTTCCATTGTCAGGGGTTGATATGATGAGTGTTGTGTTCACATGCTGTATTTATACACAAATGTGTCATTCATCCCAGCCTGAACAGTGTGGGGAACACTGAGCTAAGTCACATGGTCATTGATATCCTGTCCGAGTGCAATGGCCTCATTAACTAAGAGATCATTTAGCGTGTCATTCTTGCTAGTACAATGGTGTCCTTGAACATTATTTGATGCTGTGAGTTGCTTGAACACATATGGTCTAATCATTCTCCCTTCTGATATATCCTGTTAATTGTCCTGATCAACACTTTCCCTGTAAAACTCGTCTAAGATAGGAGTACTGCATGTACAACACATGAACCCAGACCACATTCACTCCCTCTGTTCTAGTTACTATTGCTTCTCTCATATTCAAGGGGAATATGAAATGGGATGAGGGAGGACAAGGTCATGAACTCTGCCTATAATGTAGGGTGCAGCATCTGAGTCACTGCTGAGCTTACATGATGTACCCCACATAAATTTTCTGCAACTATAAAACTGACAGTTCCCACAACTCCATCTCTTCCATCAGAATAGTTGCTACATGTTCAATCTGCTCTTAGCCATGGTACCGTTAATGATGCCCCTGCAAAGTCTCTGTATGTCCTGCTGGTGTGGTAGTGCTAATCTGACAGTGCACTGTGCCACTGACTGTCCATAGTGAGCAGTCTAGACATAGATGCGTTATGCTTATATTACCTGAGATGTTTCCAATTTGGTGACTAGAGGCAGACTGACTGTGTGTCATATGAGGTGNACCGCTGGTATAGCTCTCAGGGTCCTTGGCATACTCAAACCCCCTCACCACGATAAGGTGGAGACACCAACGAGGGTTATATCCCTTCCAATATACGTGTATAGTAGTTCTTTCATTTCCCTACTCCATGTCTCGCCACACTAATAATTCATCTTTCTCTTAAGCTCAGGATGTAATGGAATCAAGTCCTGTTTGGACTATTGACTGGATTATACAGCCAGTGACACACTTTTTCTTACTTGATGCCTTCTCCCTAAGAAGAATGCTAATCCAGGGGGTACAGAAATGCAAACTGTGTTGCACATATAGCAAAAGGCTGGTTCTTACATTCTTATGATAAGTCCGACAGTTTTCATAATGTTGAAGCAGTCGTTCATGGCACCTATTGACCACTACGCACAATCTGGCCACCAATGTGAGCCTCCAATATGTGCAAAGAGGTACAAGATCTTGATTGAATGATTTCTCAATCCAAGTTGAAGCCTAAGTTTCAAGAAAGTCCCCCTAATTAATTTAACTGATTAAGTAATTCGGGTATGCAGAATATAGCAAATTGTGAACTTTGGAGCCAAATGGCTTCCATGGTCAAATTAATTTGGAAACAATGAAGTAGGCAATACTGCAAGATTGTTTGGAATATTAAATTTACATTGTTTTTGACATGTTGACACAAATTTACTTCGTTCATACAGTCGTGTGTTAACATTGTCATTTGCAAAACAGCCATTTTTGAGCCATTGCCTTCCTTCGAAGATTCTGCCAGATTGCATCCAGTTTCACTTCCTTGGATTTAATAACAGTATTTTTATTTATTTATTAAAAAATTTTTTTTTTTTTTTTTTTTTGCATAGCAAGGTCGTCAAACTTCCCTCCAGCCCCCAGTCTCGAGGGCCAGGTCTCTGTATTTATGTAACTCCCCAATCTCGAAAGGGTGATCCAGTTATACACCATCAGCCAGCTTGTTCCCGTTTCCTCGCTTTCTACGACTCGCACTGCTATGGTTGCGTTCGTCCACTCCATGTTCCGCACGAGTGCAGAAAGTCGACTGATCAAGGCTCATCGTCCACATGACTCGGGCGGCTTGTCGCGAACGCCTTTGATGTACCGAGAACAAGCGGAGCCTCACGAACCAGTGGCTCGTGCGGCGTGTATTGCTTGTCTCGTGACTTATCATATCGTCCACATTACTCGCGAGTATAGCGAGTCACACGAGCACGAGCACGAGTATGATTACCAGTACTAGTGAACGTTAGTGCTAGTCGTGCTAGTAGCGCTTCCATGATTATGTAACTCTTACGCCTATAATTATGTAAAAGAGTTGTCATATTGTGCAACATAACTTCGGTCGAAAATAATAATCTTTCTACCGACCTCTGGACGCTCTGGACCTGGTGACTAGATCAGTTATGAAACGTACCTTCTGGCTTATAAAGCCGTCTAAAACGATACAAGTTCATCGACGTTCCTCCAAAACGTCTGTGGATTTCTATTGAACGTACCGAATTACATCGCGTTGCAACAGAGAAGATGGTACCTTCCACAATTACCGCTGTGAGAACCCTAACTCCAAAATCGATACATTGCTATTTTACTTTCATACCTAGGCATTAAAACCATGAATACTGTTTCAGATAATATGTCAAAATTTGCACCTAAGAAACAAAGTACCACGAAAGAAACGCTCAACTCTGTGCAATCAGGTAAGAAATGTGACTATATCTTTTTTACATTTATTCATTCATTCTTTTATTAATCCTGTAGATCATGATACATTTGCGTTGTGGCGGAACGAGATGCATGTAGTTACGAAATGTAGACTAGGTATTGTCCGTGACATTTAAGTTAGAACAGTTTTGTTTCAACAGTTGGTGCAATTCGATTGGTGCTGTTCGGTGCTGTTGGTGTGTCTGATTATAGTTTTATTGCCTCGGCAAGATGTAAGTGTGGTAGGTTTTTGGAAGGTTTTAATATTGCAGTGCTAGACAGAACATGAGGCTGTATCCTGATGACCAGCTGACAGGCGATTATTGAAACTGGCTGTAATGTGGGGTTGTAAAAGAACACGCTTAAGAGCTAATGGAGTTGTAACTCATATGTGACCTTCATTTGAAAGTACTGTAATTGGGAAACCCATATTTTATTGTGATATAAGTATGTGGTAGAATGACAGCATCGTTCCGCTTTAATTGAGCTCGTATATGTTAAACATATATTTGTGATGAAGCCGTAGTTGACGTTGAAGGGGAATGTTTTACGCCATGTTGCACTTTCTGTTCATGTTTACAAATGGCTTCCAAAAATCAAGCTAAATATATTACGTGTTCTGTTTTCATGTAACGTGTTTGTTATATTTGAAGTCAAAAGATGTAAGGCAGTGTTTGGATTTGTTTTTTTATGCATGGACGACTAACAGATGCGAAAAAGATTATTTTATGCACTTAAGATATGTCAAAGTGTGGAGTATACCGAGGATAAAATTATGTTTAAGGAAAACTTTACCGAAGAATGAAAATGTGAACTATTTGGCATTGAAGAAATCTATAATATAATAATAATCATAATAATAATAATAACGCATCATTGGTGAAAATAATAGTATAGTATATTAACAGCACTGTAGTAATATCCTCCGGTAGGTATATAATACAAAAGGAGGCCAAAAATAAATTAAAATATAAAACTTATGCATAGAAATTCAGTTTATGTGGTATATGAAATGCATTGCTTGTTCTAACAATGAGTCTATGTGATATGATCAGACATTTGTGTTAAATGTTACGTAAAATTCAAAATGAAGACATAACTTAGGAATCTTTGCTTTTCCTTCACTGTACAGGGTGTACACATGAAATGTACAATGTTATGTTTGTTGTAGTGTTCAGTGAAGTTACCATGAGTGGTGGCAGATATCATGTCTATTCAGTTTCAGGTCACATGTTTTTAAGCAAGTTGGGGGTAATAGTAGCCACTTCAGCTCTTATCCCCTTAATAATTTCTGACAAAGTGGTAGCCATTGGTGACATGCACATAGTATCCCTGATGTACCACAAAAGAAAAACTGGAGAGGACTAAACTGGGACAGACAAAGTGGCAGGCCTGCCCTTGACAATCCATTTCCCTGGAAATTTTGGCTGTAAGAAGCCCATCACTTACACGTGGAAATATGGAGGTGCTCCATCTTGTTCAAACAGCATGCCATCAGGACTGTCTTCTTCCAAAATACTCATGAGAATTCTTCCACCATGCCTACGTACGCTGCACCAGTCACAGTATGATGGGCAAAGAAGGAAGACCAAAACAATTTCTTTTGGACTATAGCACAAAACATGTTCAATTTAAGACTGCCTGTTGTATGTTCAGTTATGTCATGAAGATCATTGCTTGTCCAGATTCTCAGGTTGTGTCAAGTTAGCATTTTCCAATAAATTAAATGTGACATCATTACAGTTTTTATGGTAGAAAGTTCGTCACATTCAGTTTTTTAAAGAAAGTCACAGTAGAATGCCTTGAAATATTCTTTATCTTGGGCAGGTACATGTTGCAGAAGTTGTTACCTGTAATTTCTAATTTTCATATGTTGCTGTAGAACTTCTTTGCCCTATTGTGTGGCATGTTTAATTACTGGGCAGCATGTCTTAAATGATTTGTGTGAACTGTGAATGAAAATCATTTACACTTCATCAACTTAAGGATCAGTGACTGGTTGTCTTTTCCTCATTTTCCTTTACAAGTGCAGGCAGTCTGATCACAGTGTACACCAGTTGTAAGTCAATGTTTTTGGTAGTAGTTCCCTTCTAAACAGCATACAAATTTTCCTTTGTACAGTAACCGCAGACCGAGACTCATGAAACCACAGCAGACTCAGCTTTTTATGCTTCAGACGGTTTTCACCGCTGTGAGTGTAGCATCTGAGGTGAGAAGATTTGGAACTTCAGGTGGCACAAATTATAGACTTGATAATGCATCCTCATATTTGTTTATTTTTCATTCTTGTACTCAAATCTTTCAGTTCACGAGCAGTGTTACAGTAAAATGGTATACATTTCACATATACAGGGATTGGACAGAATAATGGAAACACTACACATACTGTACAAATTTCTTTATGAATATGGTGTTGGACCATTTTTTGTGTTCATTACAGCCACAGTCCTTCCTGATGTAGGGAATAGTGTGAAGGACGACTCATCTGACCGTATCACCTGCACATTTCCATTTGTCTGATATCCAGGTTTTATGGTCATGACACCATTGTTTACACATATGAGTATTACTTCCAGTAATCAGAGGTTTAGCAGTCCTGCCACAGATGTTGGGTTTGTGAAGATCATGTCACGCAGTTTTTATGGAAACCATCTTTAAGATGTTCATTTCTAGTGGCACCTCTGCTGCAGTGGTTGTATGATTTTTCGAAATAGTCCTTCTCACTGTACGATGATCTCCTTCTGTCAATGTTCCTCTTTGATGCTGATGTTGTCGTCCCACGATTTGTGTATGCTGATGTGACCTTAGAAACTGCTGCTTTCAATCCATGCAATAATGTGGCAGTTTTTGTCACAGATGCTCCAGCTAAATGTACACCAATCATCTGTCCTCTGTCAAAATTGGGCAGGTCTCCAATGTTCTGGCTGTTTCACATGTACTGTCACTCAGCACAATCACTAATGTATTGAAATGGATACTACAGAATGTACACAAATGGAAGGACATTTAGTGTTTCCAGCTGAAATTCTTTCATTGGAGCCAACACAAATTATCTTCCTCAATTTCATATTGTTTCCATTATTTTGTGCACCCCCCCCCACATGTCCTGTATTTAAGAGTGATAAATAAAGGTGTTAAATGTAAATAGCCACATATATGCCAGAATGAATAAGTGTTTCATTTTCTTAAAAAGTGGAAAGATATCGTTAGCTCAACAAGGGTGATGAATCAATAATTTATTTGCATTTTTAGCTCCAAATTATCTCCACAGCACTGTCATGAAGTTTGGCCATTAGACTTTGAGGATTCTGTGTGTTTTCTTACTTTAACGGTCCCACTTGTTTTTCCAGTCTTGGTCCAATCCAATTGAGCATGTTCTTGTCCACTTGCTGTATGGTTTGTGCAGTCTGAATCCTTGGCACATTCTGCTATTTAGTGTATGAAGTTCATAGGGATCATATTTCACATGGCGTTATAACAAGATCAGCAAATAGTGTAGGTCTGATGATATTGGTGGCCACTATGGGCAGTCCTTATACCAGGTTGATGTTTATCAATGACTTTGATTACAAGAAGACTTTCCGCTAAGCAACAAACGTATGTACATACAGTATTTTTTTTATTGCTACTGGGGTGAGACTAAGTCCCTTGTACTGTGGTCACTTCTGCCCTATTGTACCAGCCCCAGATAGGTGAGGGTGATTGTGGAGCAATTGGTGGAATGAAGGTTGGCAGGGGAAATGGAAGTACTCTGAGGAAACCTGCCCCAGCACCACTTTGTCTACCACAAATCTCACTTGACCAGACACGGGATCGAACCCGGGCCGCGATGGGAAGCCAGCGACTAACCGCTTGAGCTATGACGCGGCCTTTTGTACATACAGCAACTAAAAGATGTAAACATCAGTCCCAAATATATGTATTTGTGTTAGGTTGGGAAGGGGTAAACCAGATCTTTCATAATCATTCTCCTTGCAGGTTATTTTAGCTTGAGTCAATCAATGGATTGTCACGGCCCTGGCACTTCTCAGCCACAACCTGTGGCCTCACCCATGGGACCACCTGCACCACAGGCTCCATCCCCCATGCCACCTCCTCAGACTCCACCTCCTACAGGCCAAGGGCAGCAGCAGATCCAGTCCCCAATGGGTCCTCCGCAGCAAGTGATGTCCCCAGGACCTCCACCCAGTCCAGGCCTGCAAGTGGCATCACCGTCACATCAGCATTTGAACTCACATGGCCACATGGGCTATCAGCAACAATCTTTATGTCCTAGTGGAATGCTTCATAATCCACAAGGGTCTTCAGTTCCTCAATTGCCAGCGCAGGTATGCAGTGAAACTATGTTGTCTACTGTATGTTATTTAGAGGTACAGTATATTGATATTCCATTCCTAATGCAAATTTCACCACATTGATTATACAGAAGCCAATGAAAAGTACTCATAACTCCACTTCTGTAGAATCAGATTGAAACTAAGATGTTGTTTGTCTTAGATAATGTAGATGAAAAGTTGTAATTTTTTGAAAATGTGTACAGTTTGGCTGTTAAAATCTGGTCATTCTGAATTTCGTATAAATTAGATAAACTAATACAGACACTTCATCTGTGACATTTACTGTATAATAATGAAGTTTTGTGGCCTATTTCAGGGTATTTAATGTTTGAATTTGTTACTGTTTGTGGGACTTTGTGACGTGGTTTTTTTTTCTCTTTGTTGAGATGGTTTCTCAGTCATCACCACATGACACATACCAGGCTCTACAAAGGGCAATTGGAGCCATGGAGGAGAAGGGGATGCAGAACGATCCCCGCTATTCACAACTGTTGGCCCTTCGTGCTCGGCAGGTCCCATATGGTAACCCAGCCCAAGCAGACCCATCACGAATAATACAGGTGCTTAATCCCTTTACTGACATGTATATAGAACACATCAAGTGTGTCCCAACGAAAGAAATACTTGAAAATATGCAACTCTATATCCATATGTGATATTTCCAGCATATGCATAATAGGCACAGAAGTTATGCAGTGGAACTTCTACAAGTGTATCATTAAAGAGAAAGCAGTCATGTAGGATTTGAGGTTCTTACAGGGGTAGTTGTGAGGAATACTGTTTTCTGAGATATAGTACCATGAAATCTGTTGAAAGTCGATTGATGTTTCAGAGGAAGATATCACCTCCATCTCCATGAATAAGGCAAGCAAGAAACTAGCATGAAAACAGTGGCAAGTGGAGCCACTTCTGTCTGTTTTCATGCTGAGTTTTTGCTTCGCTTATTGTTTGACCTTGGAGATGGAGGTCATAAGTTTCTCTGAAATGTTATGTGACTTTCAACAGACTATACAGCATTATATCCCTGATGATCATACTCTTCAAGGAGTCATGATGATTTCTTTTCAGCAGAGTTTAACAGACATATGGTCAGTTTTGGGATGGTGATTGAGCAGGAGAAATTTATATGGACTTGTAACTCAATGAAAATATGATTTTTCGTTATCCATATGCAGACTGAAAAAGAAATCTCCCCTGCTTACAAATGTAGAAGAAGAAAGTCGGTTTATTTCAGAGTGATGTGGAATAACTTTACTGTTGTAAAACAAAATGTGCTGGAGTATCAACATGTCTTATGCTTCTTTACTTACAATTTACACTCTGTTCGTAATTAGTTAAAGCTGGTAAGGTAGCTACTGAAAATTTTTATAGGCTCAATTTTTGACGTGTTTGCAGGGACCGGGTAGTTTTCTTGATAGCACACCAAAGCATATCTTCAGTTCTCTTCAGCTACAGCAATTACGAGTGCAGATCATGGCATACCGACTGCTGGCTCGTAACCAGCCACTAACAAGTCAGATGGCTCTGGCTGTGCAAGGGAAACGAATAGATTCTGTTCCCAGTCATAGAATGCCTCAACAGGGTGATCCAGGTATGTAGCTTAACACAATGCATATGTGTTGTTAGAACATTTTATTATATGAGCTTGAACATATAAGGATTCTGGAGTATTGTAGTTGGAGGTAAGCTTGAATCCTGAGGTTAGTGTGTGTGTTGCGAGACATCGAGAGTTTTAGTCCTCTTGTCATTATGTGCACCCAGCTGCATCCCAGTTCCATGTCCCAGTATGATATTGTTCATGATCATCCCAATTTTATACCTTGTTTGCCTCTTACTGGTATTACTGAACAGAATCATTCCATTTTTCAATATCTTCTGAAGCACCATCTTTAGATTTGTATTTTATAATTATCTGGGAGAAGGTGAATCTTGTGAGAGTCATTCTTTCAACATATTTTCCTGTTTTTTTTTTTTCGTATAGTTTTTAAAATATTTAATTTGTGAGATATCTAATTTTGTCATTTCTCAATTATTTTAAGGTAAGAAAAGGATGTAACCTGTTGTCCAGTTCATGAAATGCAATTCAGAAAACACTGATCTTCCATTATGCCATTGCAGTACAGTTTTGTGGTTGACAGTTCTGCTTCCTATTGGGAGCTGATACTCATTTATACTCAGTGATTGGAGATGAGCTGCATTGAGAGAGGTTTACAAGGTTTTTGTCAGACAACATGAAGATCAGAATAGTGTCCTGAAATATTTTCCCCTATGCCCTTTCCAGCTTTATATTTATTATAATCTAATGTTTCATTGAATTGAATTGAATTTATTTACATTTATAAATCCTAAGCAGGTTAGTACCTTTGGATACAGAACAAGTCAAAAGGTTACATACATAAGTACAGGCAACTTTAGCTTAAAAATTAATATAACTTAATTTTATATCATTCTCTATTTACATTGAAGTATTCATCTAAAGAGTAGAAGGAATGAGCATGTAGATAATTCTTTAACTCTGATTTAAACTTTTTAGTATCATTGCCCAAGTTTTTAATACTTTGTGGCAGATTGTTGAACACTTTTATGCCAGTAAAGTAGACTCCTTTTTGATATACTGATAAAGTTGATGAGGGTAGGTGGAAGTTATATTTTTGTCTAGTATTCATGTTATAGACATCAGAATTTAATTTGAATTTATCTTTGTTGTAAACAACAAATAAGAGAAGCGATAATATGTATTGCGATTGAAGAGGTAGAATTTTTAATTTCTTAAATAATTCTCTACATGAATCTCTACTTCTACATCCTGTAATGATTCTAATTATATTCTTTTGTATTTTAAAAATTATTACACTATGTGAAGAGTTCCCCCAAAATATTAATCCATAGTTCATAATAGAATGAAAGTAGGCATGGTAAACCATCTTCAATGTTTCCTGTGACATAAAAGGCTTAATTGATCTCATCGCATAGCAAGCTGCATTTAATTTAGGTATAATTTGTTCAATATGTATTTTCCAAGACAGTGTACTGTCTACATGTATTCCAAGGAATTTTGTATCAAGTACTTTACAGATTAATTTGTTGGCATAACTGATGTCCAGATCAATTTGGTGGTTGTTTTTAGTTGTGAATGATATGTAATGGGTTTTATCAAAATTTAATGAGAGTAAATTGGCTTCGAACCATCTGTTTAAGGCTTCAAATACAATATTTATGTCATTTTTAAAGTTTTCAAATTTAGAGTTCTTAAATATTATACTAGTGTCATCTGCATATAGAATTGGTTTAGATTTATTGTTGATGGTTTTAGATAGATCATTTATGTAGAGAAGAAAAAGTAAGGGACCTAAAATTGATCCTTGTGGAACACCGTGCTTTATAATTCCCCAGTTTGAAAATGCATTATGACTGGAGTTTTTATTATTTATTTCAACTCTTTGATACCTGTTTTTGAGGTATGATTTGATCCATTCATTAGCTTTGCCAGTTATTCCATAGAAATTTAATTTCGATAGTAAGATATCATGATTAACACAATCGAAAGCTTTTGCTAGATCACAGAAAATCCCTCCCACAATTAATCTGTCATTGAGAGCACTTAAAATATCGTTAGTTAGTTCATAGGTTGCTTTTTCTGTTGTTAGGTCTTTCCTAAATCCAAATTGCTCTTTGACTAATATGTTGTTAGAATTTAAGTGTTCAAGTAGTCTATTATACATAACTTTTTCAAAGACTTTTGAGAATGAAGTCAATATGGATATTGGTCTGTAATTAGAGATGCATTTTCTCTCTCCTTTTTTAAAAAGTGGTTTCATTACAGCGTATTTTAAGCGTTGAGGAAAAGTACCTGATGATAAAGATTTATTACATAGATGATTCAAGGGTGAACTGATGTAAACAGAGCTTGCTTTAAGTAATTTGGTAGAGATTTCATCATATCCATGTGAATTTTTGGGCTTAAGGGATTTAATAATGTTTTCAATTTCCTTCCTTGTTGAGAATTTGAGATTGATATTTGGAAATGAATTGTTAAAGGCACGAGACAGATAGTATATTGGATTATTATTATTATTATTATTATTATTATTATTATTATTGGAATATGTTTTCTCAGCTAATGAAAGGAAATATTCATTAAATGCACTTGCGATAGCTTGTGGATTGTTAGTGGACTTCCCTTCAATATTCAAACTTTGTACGTCTTCATTAACAGATTTCTTTCCTGATTCAACTTTCACAATATCCCAGGTGGTTTTAATTTTATTGTTTGATTTTAGAATTTGGCTGTTATAGTTATTCTGTTTGGCTTCTTTAATGACTTTTGACAAAATTTTACAGTACATTTTGTAGTGACTTTTTAGTCTTGGATCATTACTGTCCCTACTGGCCAAATATAGTTGTCTTTTGTGTTTACATGAAGTTTTTATTCCAATTGTTATCCAGGTGGATTTGTTTTTATTTTCATTTTTGACTATTTTTAAGGGAAAGCTTGAATAAAAGATCCTCAAGTATGTGTTCAGAAAGCAATTAAATTTAGAATCAATATTATTGCTGTCAAATACATTGTCCCATGATTCATTACTTAATTTTGTGACAAAATCTGCCATCGTATGCTTGTTGATTTTCCTTACTGTTTGATATTGTTGATTACTGGGCTGAAGGTCAATATTATTTATTTCTATGAGTTGAGCATCATGATCGGATAAGCCATTTATAAAGGGTCCTACAGTATAGTCTCTTAATTTTGAGTTATCAATGAATATATTATCTATCGCTGAACTAGAATTATTTTGAACTCTTGTGGGAAAGTTAACAGTACTGGAGAGATTGTAAGATGATAACAAAGAGTCTAAATTTAGTTTCCTATTACTGTCGATGAGATAGTTTATATTTATATCACCACAAATTATAAATTCAACTTTTGAACTATGCAGTACATTTAGGATGGTTTCTAATCTATTTATAAAGTGATCGAAGTTTCCAGATGGGGCTCTATATAAAGTCAGTATACAAATATTAGAAAAAGGAGAGTCTAACTTTAGAGCACATGCTTCCAGATCCTGGTCTTTGCAATAATCTTCTAAATTTATTTTAGTAAATTTTAGGTTTTCATGTACAAAAATACTCACTCCTCCTTTCTCCAGTGTTTTCCTACAGTATCTAGCACCTAAATTATAATTTTCTAAGTGAAGATGTTCTAATTCCAGCTGTTTCATGTGATGTTCAGTAAGGCACAGTATGTGTGGAAGATTTGAATTCATGGAGCTTATTAGTTCATTTGTTTTGTTTCTCAATCCTCTTATATTCTGATGGAATATTCTTAGTACTTTATTATTCACTGAATTTAGTAGACTGCAATTACCTTTTCCGATTTCTATTGGTTCACTAACATTATTGTCTGAAAGATTAGTTTCTTTTGCAATTTCTTTTACTTGATAAACTTTACTTGCACTCTTTATCCTAAAAAATGATTCTGAACACCCATGACAACTGGAATGTGTCTGCCCTTAATGCTCTCTGCAATGAGTCGCGTCAGCTTGTCCTTGCCTCGAGGATTAAGATGCAAACCATGGACAGTATGTTCGCTCCTCAATATTGAAGAGACATCAATCGCATCAATGTGGGCCGCGCCGACCTCCACAAGCGAACGCTCAAGCCGAAGATTAATCTCCCTTACACACCTGTTAATCCATGGCTTGTCATGTCGCCAGAAAAGACCAACAAACCTCACATTGGTGTGACTAGTTTTCTGGGCAATGTCACTTAAATCTTTCTCAATTTGATAATTGAGGTTTCTCTCCAAACTGTTACCTGGCCCCCCAACTATAACTACCTGATCTTCCTTACTAAAACCTTTGCACAATTTTCCAATGTCCCCAGTGACATTGCTCAGATCAGCATTGGGCTTGAATATGCTGGTCACAGCATATGCATCTCCCATTGCTTTCTGTAGCCTCTGCCCGATACCCCTACCATGACTGCTACCCAGCACTAGAATCTTACGCTTAGGCTTAGCCTCTAACACAGGCTGATCTATAGCGTCACCATCAGTCTGAGGCCCTAGCATAGCTAGAGGTTCAAATCGATTGGTTAAAGCTAACTTAACATCTAGTGAAGAAGGAACTTTTTTAAGTTTTCTTCGGGAGTTGGACACAGTCCTAAATTCTTCAGGACAATTATCTACTAAATTTAATTCCCCTTTTAAGAGGTCAATCTCAGTTCTTGCAAGTTCCAGCTCCCTTTTCAAACTCAAGATAGTCTCCTCTTGTTTCTTTATTACCTTGGCTTGCACACAGGAGTTGCAGTACCAAGGTAATATGGCCAAATCACTATTGGTGCCAGAGCACTCCCAATGAAACCACAGGCCACAGTCCTCACATCCTGTCCCCTGGCTAACCTTCCTTCTGCAGGCCCCACATTTACCTGATAAGTCGTTACCCCTTGTGGTCATTATTACCACTTATGTTAACTTATAATTCAGTACTAACTAACAGATATATTTAAAGAGTCTAATTTGTGATTAGAACTTACAAGAGTATATGCTGGCACAAATCTTTTAAGGCCCACTATATACAATGATACACTTATTTTAGGTTAGGCCCACTGGTACACTTGCAATAGTACAAATCAACTTACTAAAGATATAAAATAACACACTTCTTGTAGGTTAGGCCTACTGTACACTTACGAAAATACAAACAACTTATGTAAGATATAAATAACACTTGTGAAAATACAAATCGACTTCCTTAAGATATAAAATAACACACTCCCTGTAGGTTAGGCCTACTGTATACTTACGAAAATACAAATCAGTTTCCTTAAGACAAAGTAACACACTACTTGTAGGTTAGGCCTACCAGTACACTTATGAAAATACAAATCACCGTATTTAAGATATAAAATAACAAGTATGTTTACTAATTCTACTACTAATCTATATTAACAGAAAGTTAAGTTAAGAAAATGCAGTTTAGAAGCGTTGAGCGGAAGATCAGATACTAATAGCTCACAATATGGTGGAAAATGGTCTAGGAGCTAAGCGTGGCTTAAGAGCAAAAAAAAAAAGGAAGAAAACGTTCTGTATAGAAAAAAATTTAAATATAAGGTTCACTATAGTACACTTGTTAAAGAAGATAACCACTTATTTTTTACTACTGACCGAATAAACTGCTCTTTTGTACTTAAATTAAGGAGCTCTCAGATTCGCACACTACCACTCAACGTGTCCTTCACAGATGCAAGGTTCCAGTAGGCATATTGTGTGTGAACAAAGGGACGGTGCAGATAAAATTATTTGGGGCATAAGTCTGATGTAAGTTATGTGTTAGCAGGTGTTGTGAGTGGCGTAATGCAGCAGCCAATGAGAACTCCTGTTCCAGTAGGAGGTCAGCCACCAAGCCAGTCTCCTATTCCAGGCCAGCCTGCTCCATCAGCAGGACAACAGACTGTGGGTACAGCTCCAACCACAAGCACCTCCCCTAACAATGGTGCAGGTACGGGGACTTCTGTAGTACAGCCGACATCTACAACACAAGGTCCTCGTCCTCTCCCTCCCTCAGGACCAGCTGCAGGGGCTCAGTCTGCAGCACAGCCCCCACCTCAGCAGAAACAGAATCGAGTGACCCCCATAGCCAAACCTGCAGGACTTGACCCCTTGATCATACTTCAGGAGAGGGAAAACAGGTGAGTTCAGATTTGTTAAGCACTTCTTAGTACAAATATTGGTCAAATTGATGTTTCGAAGAAACTGCCTAAGTCATTGTCAAGTAGATTGATTCTCCATATCTCTCATTTTGCATTTCTACTTGCTGTTTTCTTTTGGTGGTAGAGTCGGAGAATTATGTCGGTAGTGACAGAAATTGCAAAGTACTTTATGTTGGAGATTTAATGGTAATTTCAGGATTGTTTTGGCCCTTTGTTTTTTGTGTGTTGGGCTTGAGGTGACTGGCACTGAAAATGTTAAATGTAGGATTTTGTATCTGTAATTTCTAATTTGCAGCGTTCAAAATCAACATTTTTGTTTGTAGGCTGGCTGCAAGAATCGCCCATCGAATTGAAGAACTGAACAATTTGCCAACTGTGATGGCAGAAGATCTGAAAATTAAAGCACAGATTGAACTACGTGCATTGAGATTGTTAAATTTTCAGAGACAACTGAGAACAGAGGCAAGTGTTTCAGGCTCTTAAGTGAAATAATGTTAGAAAGGACAGTTTTCTGAGAGTGGAAAGTGGTTTGAAGAAGTGGATTAAATACCTTTAAAAGTATTTTGTATGTGGACATGTTTATGTAGGAATTGGTGCGGGAATGCTTTAAAATTGCATTTATTTTGCTTTAATTTGTTAGAAGTATATTCATGTGATAGTTTAAGTAAGAAATTGAACAGTAAATTAGAAAGTATATGAGATTATTATATATCAGAAATATATATACACACATATGGTAGTTTTAATGATGTGGCTCTGTGGAAGAAACTTGCACTTGTGGACAAAGCATGACTGCAAACACGAGATTGTTTTCAGGTCAGGTGATAATTCATTTTTATAGATATTTGCTAATGTATCCAAAAGTAAATGTACAATGGCCTGAACAGGTTATTGTTGACATCAGTCTCGTATTTAATGCAGGTTGTGGCATGCACGAGGAAGGACACAATGTTAGAAACTTCCTGTCATATTAAGACTTACAAACGAACAAAACGCCAGGGTCTCCGTGAAGCTCGGGCTACTGAGAAGCTGGAGAAGCAGCAGAAACTTGAAGCAGAACGGAAGCGTCGGCAGAAACATCAAGTAAGATGAACCATATATGTACTATTTGTTATCTTGCTTATTTTAACACTTGACACTGTGGTTCTAATGAATGTTGATCATTGTTATTGAAACTACCTTACCTGAAAAGTAAATATTTTGGGAAAAACTAATATGCTGAAATTGTCTAAGATGACAAGCCCATCACTGTAATATGGTACTGAACTAGAGGAAACTGCGTAAGAAGAAGAGAAGTGGCTGAAGTATGGTGTTTGAAAACAGTACCAAGATATGTACTGCTTGTTCAGATATGCAGTGAACATATGAATCTAGCAATATAGAGGATTCGTGATTTGGTCATGTACTATAGAAATAATTGGAAAGATCGTATGGTGAGAAGGCAAGTAGAGAGGTATCCCATTTAATGTTCCTCAATTTAAAGTTCTCCCTCATTTAATATTTTCAGTGATTGCAAATCAATAATCTCAGTTTAGGGTTCAGATCCATTGCTTTACAGACAGACGTTAAAAAGTGATTTCACCGTGCACAAATACAAAAAATAGCAAGAGAATATTAACCCAAAGGACAGATCATGATGGTGATAACCAGGGCCCAGATTTTGATGACCTGAAAATATTTAAAAGCTGACCCATAAAATGACCGAAAAAATCCAGAAAAATGACCTAAACGAGAAAAAAAAGAACACTTCGCTTCCATGTTATACACATTTCAGAAAACATAAGAAAAAAATCCCTAAAATGGCCAAAAATGACTAGAAATACCCTTAAAAGTCCAAAAATTACCCCAAAAATGAAAAAATGACCTTAAACCTAAAAATGTCAAAAAATGACAAAAAATTACCTATAAAATTTACATTTCTGTAACCAGCAGCTCATATCCGAGATTTACATATATAAGAGCATCGCATAGGATACAAGGAAAAAAAGATGGCATGTCATCAAAATCCGGGCCCTGGTGATAACATAAGCTCACAGGAGATTTGTTAGTTCTGTTAGATTCCTCTGTAGCAGACATTTAGAAGCATGTTGAGAATGATAAGTTGAAGGAGAGAAAGAGGTCATGCTATAAGCAAGTAATGTTTTGCATAGAGTGTTCTGTTTAGTCATACTCATGTCAGTGTTTTAATTGTAACATGTATGTAGAGTGTCCCAGGAGGAAAGCTCAGTATTCTGGGAGGTCATAATATCGGTCATTCTGAGCAAAATGTGTGTATGTACATGTGTCCTATTCCAAACTGTTTCCAAGATAGAATTGTGTCATATTACTTGCCTGCATAAAGGAACATCAAGATGCACTCAGACGAGCAGCGAGCAATGTTCTCACATGAGTTGCAAAGTGCATTGATGTTATGGTGGAATTTTTGAAAATGTATTGTCATGTATGAGGGGTTGCATACGAATAATTGTGGGTCCTGGATTTGATGATTGGATTTATTAATACCTTCGTTTAAAAGTTCTCATAGTCTCACTCAGTTGTAATGCTATTGCTTTTCTGCACACTTTCCGTTCACAGTTGCACCCACACTAGGATTCTCCGTCTTCACAAGGTGTATCCTGGCAACAGATTTCTACAGTTTGACTGTGTCGTCAAATCACACATGAAAGCTTCTTGGCACAGTCTAATTTCTTTCTTGCCATTTCTGCAGCTGCCAATTCCAAGACTACTCTCAACTACTGTTGTATACTCCACCATACTCTGTCTACTACTACTGCTGTTGTCCTGCTGAACTCTTCTGATAACCACTTTGCACGGACCATGCACAGAAAGAAAATGTCACATGATCACTACCCAGCCATTCCATTGGCGCACTGGCTGCTGCCTAGCAACAGTCTTTGCATGGACCTGCAGAAAATGTGTCACGTGACCACTACCCTCTGTTGTGGTATGACGTCATTGTGCACAGACACAAAGAAAACACTGCTGTTGTATTGTTCGCTGTGTGTATGTTGTGGGTGTTGCTACCATGTTAGACCCAGTGTCGATTGGATCAGTGTCCCATATTTTGGATGTTACTGTTATACTCAATAGTTTGAAAGAAATCATTGCCATATACAAACTTTGTCAATTTAGACTGATGTCTGATGACTGATTTGTCAAGTTAAAGGAAAGTGTGGGCATTGGATTCTTTACTGCCGATCAGAGAGGATCATGGTGATTTTTGCATACAAGTGGTGTTTTTGAGACTGACATCAGGAATTGAAACAGACCCAGCTTTTAATGTTGGAAACAAAAAGAATATTTTTAGTAAACTGTATACTTATTGTTGACAGGAATACTTAAATGCTGTTCTGCAACATGGAAAGGACCTGAAAGAGTACCACAGGAACAATATTGCCAAGATCTTGAGACTAAATCGCGCAGTGTTAAACCATCATGCTAATGCAGAGCGTGAACAGAAGAAAGAACAGGAAAGAATTGAGAAGGAGAGGATGAGGCGACTCATGGCCGAGGATGAAGAGGGTTACAGGTATGAGTGATATTAATTTGTTAATGTGGATCATTTATATTTAATTAGTTAAGTTGGTATGACATCTTAACATGTCATGCACTGCTCTGATTCGAAGTAGGTATGACATTTCTATATGTCACACAAGTTTCCAATGACACCACTGTAGATGTAATGACAGCAATGCAAATTTGTACGATGTGCTTGCTAGATCTTCTAGTTACTTCATAGGGTGACCAGAAAGTGCTGATTGCTTGATAGCTGTCCTGGGTTCAAGTTTTTGTGAATAAACATTATGACAGATCTTAGCAAGAAGATACGTGTGAGTGATGGGGTGTTATATGAACTGTTGCAAGAGAATGAAGATAGTNACATTATCACTTTTCCTGGATAGTCTCTTTCCAAAAACAGAAGATCGCATTAAGTGGAGAAACTGTTTTGGAAGAGACTGTGGACCTGTCGCCTGACAGATTACTGATGATGATGATGAGTTAAGTTGGTATGACGTCTTAACATGTCATGCTCTGCTCTGATTCGAAGTGGGTATGACATTTCTATATGTCACACAAGTTTCCAATGACACCACTGTAGATGTAATGACAGCAATGCAAATTTGTACGATGTGCTTGCTAGATCTTCTAGTTACTTCATAGGGTGACCAGAAAGTGCTGATTGCTTGATAGCTGTCCTGGGTTCAAGTTTTTGTGAATAAACATTATGACAGATCTTAGCAAGAAGATACGTGTGAGTGATGGGGTGTTATATGAACTGTTGCAAGAGAATGAAGATAGTGATATTTCTGAAAGCGAATATAGCAGTGACAGTGAAATAAATGTGAAAATTTCACCATGTGGTCAGAGTGTGAGCTGTGATGAAGAAGAACATGTCTTTGACAACAGTAGCAAGCAACAGGGCATATGGACAAAGTCAGGGGCTGAGCGACCATGTTTACCATTTACTGGATTTAGAGGACCCCATTAACCCCCTGGAATATTTGAGTTTTGTACACCAGAAATTGTAGGAGTAGTAGCCAGGAACAAATTGGTATGCAGGTATGAAAAAGTAGAGCTGTTACAGTACTGAATTTATCAGATTGCATCGAGGTCTTTACCATTTAATTAAGTTCACTTTTGACCATAATGTGTAACAGTGACTCTAATAATAATTTGAATCTGAGTTGAATGCAAATGACTTGGTACTGAAGTTTACAAATAAGTAGCAGTTTCAAGGTTTGACTGATATGGTTATTTGTCTCTTAAACAGAAAATTGATTGATCAGAAGAAGGACAAACGGCTTGCATTCCTGTTATCACAAACAGATGAATATATAGGCAATCTCACAGAAATGGTAAAGCAGCACAAAGTTGAACAGCGCCGTAAACAGCGTGAGCAAAAGGAGAGAAAGGTTGGGTTACATTTATGTATGTAGTAGCTTATTAATGCCATGTTTATATTGTCAGAATTGTCCTGTGTATGAATGTAAAGTCACATTTATTGAAATCCACATTTTTGCTTATCTAGGTGACAAATCCATCATCTGTGTAACCTCATGAAAGCTATCATTTTCCTGTAGTACAGAGATGAAATGGTAGGTAGGATGGCAAGGTTTAATCTGTCAGATGAAAGAAACTTTTTGTTCTTACAACTGTCCATTTTTTTTTCCTTATTTTTCAGTAGAACGAAGAATTTAGACACATTATCATAAATTGTAAGCACTATTGAAGCAAAAAACAACTTAAACTGAATGAAATAGAGACTGTTGTGTTGCTTTTTAATTGTCAAAACAAAGGGTGTACATGCAGATACATATACAGAGTGATTCAGAAGGAGTCTGTTAAACTTTGCGAATATTTTAATCAGCTGATTTTGAGAAAAAGCATTTTACCATATTTACTTGTGTAATTATGCAATTGTTTACCCCCAAAATTTTGTCTAAAAATAGTGTTGCATGAAGTGTGTGGATACTAATTTTCTGATTATAATTTTACACAGATTGAGTCGGTTACAGTTGAATGTGATGTGGGGCAACATGGTATGGATATTTGAGCCTGAGGACTTCACCATTTGATTCATAAATGAATATTATGACAGAAAAACTCCTTGATAATATTTTCCCAACACAAAGTTTGTGTGGAAAACACAAAAAGTTCCCCGTACCATGTTATCATAATGCATTTAACATTAATTACATTTTCTGTGAAAATTATGAATTGGTCATAATTTTATTAAGAGTAAAAATATAGTATTTAGTTTTTTCCTGAAATTTCTTGTCTAAAAGTAGGGATGCATACATTGTGTGTGTAAATTCTGTGTTGACCGTTAACGTACGGACTTTTAAATTGCCGGCAGCTCCCTACGGCCGGAATTTAAATGGCCCTAAGTCTTTAACATTGCAAACTTTCAGAAAAAAATGCATATTTTCCGTTCTATGCAACATCGGAATATGAACTAAAAAGAACCTGAAAGACAATAAAATTTTCTACATATATACAAAAGGGCAAGTTTTACAAATGAAAATCAACTGTGAGTATTTTGTCATGAAGTGCAAAATATAATCATTATTATATACGTTATGAAATTCCAAAGGACTTACATGTTGTTTTTCTTCAACCTTGAATCGTGGTGGCGATGTAAATATGACGACACTATATACAATAATATTTGGTTCGGACTGTACACGGGTTGGACTGCATCGCTTCACAGTTTCACTCTGACGCGCGTGTCCCACTCTCGAAGCAGTCCATCACACAGCGCGACATCACACTCTACAGCGGTAAAGCGTGCTCCCGCTTTTCTTGTTTATAGAACAAACGTCTTGGTTTCCCTTTAGCTGGCCAGTGTTTTGAATGTGTCACTTCCACTTGACTCAGTTGGGCCCCAGATGAACTTGGCCTCCCCCGAAAAACACCACTGACCGTGATATTCGCCTCATGTGATTGAAGAATCAAATCACGCACCAAAATTTCGCGGAAATTTTTGTGCGTCATTTTTCCATCACATGACTTGTGTAACAGATATTCATTGAGAACAGACATGTCTAGTAGGTGGAAGAATACTCGCAAAATTGTGATGCAAAGTAATTGCAATAGCAGTCGAAAAGTGCCAGTCCGCCACTGATACCGAAAGTCACAGTGACGAAGATGTCTTTACGCACAAAGTAACACTGGCTCAGTGTATTTATACCACTTCCGAGATACACAATAAAAATGATATAAAAGAAATATAGGAGTTTGACACTGATTTCGTAACTTTTAACAAAATATAGAAAATCCGCCACTGACATCCTAACTGAGAATTCAACGCTGCAAACTAATCCCTGAATGAGCCACACTTCCTTGAAAGCTCTGGTAGCACTGCTATGAAAGTGCTTACGAATATTTCCTCCTCTAACTTCTCAAAACAAAGCTGACCTCTATTGGCTCACCAGGTCATAAACAGTCATATCTAAACGTAAATAGTTTCGAAACCAGTACCCTGATAAACGATTTCATTGTTCAGAGCTAACAAATAAATGTCTGACATGAACGTTCATGAGTTTGTTTGGGTTTCAAACCCAAGGTCAAACTGCCAGCACTCACAAAGGAAGCACGTGGCTTGCCCCCAAAAATTATAACATTCGGCCAGCTCGGCTTGCTACTTGATGCAAATAATTATAACATTTGGCCGTTAAAGGTTAACATGGGTCCAACTCAGAAAACCCAGTTCCTTAGAGTCATGGTAATATGAAAGCAAAATAAGGGTGTACTGGAACAGTTTAGCACTAAGTTCCATGTGATATTAAAATAATGAAATATGTTACAGGTGTTGCCATGCTCAAATTTTCATGATTGGAAAGGCTGGAACTAACATAAAAATGCATTCATTTTTCTGATAACAGTAAAAATAATGAATTTCAGGGCCAAATTTCAGTGCCCAGTAACTTCTGAACCACAAACTGACACATCACAAATTGTTCAGAAGTACATGGCCATTCAGTTTTAAGAGCATTACCCCAAGACTGATATAATTGGTTTAACAACTTAAAGCAGCATTAAAATCAGAGACTGCTGTTTACCTTAGTCTAGGTATGAATATGTGACAGAACCAAATATTTCCAAATAAATCATAAGACTGGCTTCTTTCTTGAAATACTAATTTGAATAATAAATTGTGTTTTCAGAATGCAGTCAAACATTATTATAATGGACTGATAAGAAGCAGGGTGTCCTTTATTGCCACTGTTCGTTATAACTGAGTGAAGGGGTATTTGCAGAAGTACCCCATAGGATACATAATCAGTACATGCAGTAAAGATAGAAACACCCAGTGTGTTAACAGAAACGTTTTTAGCTTGGGGTTCTTTTAATTTTAGTAGTTTTCTAACTACAAAACCTTCTGAGTGCAATAACATCTCTAAAAATTCACAGTTGTATACAGTTAGATTTTGTCCATTATATCTGGGGTTTACTATATTTGCAAATGACATTCAGCTTAATATAGCAGAATATTGATTTGAAGTGCGTGGAGCCCTCTCCCACAATTACTCTTTCAGCTGATATAGATTAACACATACTACTAGTTTTAATGATATAATTCTCTTATGTACGAAAAAACCTCAACCTAATTCATGATTTTCATTCTCCTTTCCATAGTAAAATGTATAGTCTCCTGTTGGTATGATGCCACCTCCATCCCATCTAACCTCCTGTACTCCCACTAAATCTAACTTATATTTTAAGATTCCTTCTGCCACTGCCTTGAGTGAACCTGCCCTATACAAACTTCAAATATTCCAAATGCCAAATCTCATATCCATTTTCATTAGCTTAGGTCATTTATCCAAGGAATCCATCCAGGTCCGAGGATTTGTGTTCATTTTCGTAACATAATTATTTAATGTGTGTTAAAAGTTCTTAGGTTATTTAAATATAATTTGTGTGTTGTAGAAAAAGAAGAAGAAGAGATCTGAAGATGGTGAGATAATTGATGGGTTGAATGATGAAAGCTCACAAATGTCTGATGTGCGAGTTACTGTGATGGAAACGGCCACTGGTAGGTGAAAGTCTACACTTGTGACCTTAAGTATATGACAGTTTAGTGTTATTACTCTAATAGCACAAGTACTTAAGATGATTAATTTTTAGTTGATATGTGTCATGTAACACATTCTGTGCGTTGGTGATTGTAAGCGAAAACTAAAACATCATTATGGAGTCCTCTTAACTTAACATCAGTTTTCCTTAACTACCAGCTTGATGTAAGTGTACAGTACAAGACAGGTTGAGTGTGAGATGATTTATTCCTATCTTAGTACAAATACATGTGTGTCTGTCTTTCAGGGAAGATTTTATGTGGAGATGAGGCTCCCCTGGCAAGCCAGTTTCAAGCATGGCTTGAGATGCATCCTGGATGGGAGGCTGCACCTCGTGAAGATGATGAAGATGATGATGACGACGATGAATCAGATGTTGATACTGATGATTATGATGATGATGACAGAGGTGTGAATGTGTTCATTTTCTTGTTGTACTGACTCTTGGTTAACCTGTCTGGCTACCGTTTCCTTTTTATGGTTGTTGAAGTTGGAGAATGGGTGTTGCTTAACTCCTTGCCCTTTATTACAGGCTTTATGTGTATGGTTAGGTAGAATATTATTTAACGCATCTGTATGTACATTTAAATAACCCACTTAACACTGTACTGCTATAGTATTTTTTTGTTTGCCCCTTTAATTTTTATGTTGAAGTGTTTAAACCGTCATACCTAGTTATGTACGTGAAGTAATTTCATAATTTTTTCATTCGAAACTGAAGGAGTTAACAATTTTAATTGCTTGCCATAATAACTGGACATTCTGCGTATGAAGAAAGTAACCAGATTGGAAGTGAGAAATTATGTGATAGTTCTTGGAACACCTAGTCCAAACATATTCTTCATTATTTTATGCTTAATTTTCTGAGTCCTGAGAATGTAAATTTATCAAATTTTACATAACATTCTGTTTTGGAAAATTAGAGAAACATTGGTGCTGTTATGCTCATGCTGAAGACTTGTCTCAGTAAAATAGTTCCAACTTTTGCATATGAAAATTTTTGAGTGAGCTCATCTAGTCATAGACAAACACATTTTCATGCTTGTCATTATATTGTGGTGGCTGCTGCCACATGTTTGCCTGTTTATTTTTTTATTGTTGACTGTTCATGGCACTACAACAGATATATGTGTGTGTATATATATATATATAGCAAGATAAACTATAAATGACAAATGATGCAATTAGTATTATAACACAAATTGATGTGCATGTTGGAACTATTGTCAGACTGGCAGAAAAGTTGGGACAGTGAATGCAGTTATGAAACCCCTTGAAGGAACCGAAAGGTTTGACCATTGTGTACCTTTTGTAATATCGTATGTAGGTTAGTGTATTGTAAAAATTTTCTTTTTCACATTCTCTTTTATCTTCCATTGGGGCATATGCCGAGATTATGGTTATATTCCTGAAACATTCTTTAACCTTCATCGGACGAATGTCGTCATATGATGTCGTTAAAAGTTAGGGCAGCTGGCCGAACGTCATCATATGATGTCGC